GAGGAAGCTCATGACTCGGAAAAAGACACCAAAACGCACTTTTGATAACAAAGAGATGCAACTGGTCTCATTACTTACCCGGCGTTCTAATTATTCATTTCAATGCTCCAGTTCAGTCCGATGGTCCGAACGAAAGATTAGGCACCACCTTAAACTCACGAGTTTCTACAAGAAGTTCTGAAGATCGGGAAACTGAGAGCCCGCACAAATCCACCATTTAAAACAAAGTTTCAGACATGACAGCTGTCATCCGCCAACTTGCATACCAATTTTCGTCCGTCTACCGGCTCCATAATAAGCTGTTTATGTGCTATATGTGGGGTGTGTCCCTGGCCTAAGATTCATTATCGTCAGTATTCCAGCTGGCGGGCAGAGAGAAGGGGATCGGGCACGATTCAAACCACTACAAGTGGTTATCACGTGCTTTCGTTGACAAGATCATGTAAAACATCCGGACATAATATGGAGACTAGCTGAGGGTGAGTATTTTTAATTTGAAAACTCTCAACTTCTTATAGATAGAAGATCCGAAGTCCAGATATATTATCATGTTTAACACCCCAAAGACGAGGAAGAGGGAAAGGCGAGTTCATATACCGAGATGTAGTTAAAGTGACCTTACAGAAACTCTCACGTTTTTGTCATCAGAACACTATGCTTCTTCTCTCCGTCGGCCTCGATTTGTTCCACCTTGCCAGCTGTCTCGTGTTATAACCGTACCCAACGCGAGTGCTTTTGCTTGCTTGTTGGCCATTCAGGATGGGTGTGGCTCACACACCGGCATCAAATATCAGACATCAGAGCATGAAGCCCGAAGGCCCGCTGCCGGTGATGGAACAATTGGCGGTGGTCTATAGCATACCATGCCAAGCTTGTGATGCAAGGTAGGTTGGTGAAATGGGCAAACGCTAATTGCACGAACACCAGCTTACAATCAACGGTAAGGGTAAACTGTCTCTGCTCTGGGGTCACGTACAACAACAGAATCACAATTTCGCCTTTGAGAATGCAAGGGTGATCGGCCGAGCCAATGATAAAATGGCCAGTCTGATGTTGTAACTGTGGTCCTCAACGGACACACTTAACAGAGCCCTATGTGTACAGCCTTCCTATCAGGCGCTCTTTACAAGGCTCAAGTCAGGTCAAACAGAGTCACAGAACGCGTGGCCGAAACCCTCAGAGAAAAAAGGCGGCACTGATCGGAAGTCACTTGGCCGGCCTGGCACTGTCTCATCAAGGCGTCCGCAAAGCCGAAAGCACTATGCAAAAGCAGTGACAGCTGATCAGTCTGACAGAGGCCGACAAGTAGACTGACAGAACGGCAATCACGACTGCCGCGAAGGGAACACAAGTCACGCGAACCCGCCAGTGGTCGATAGCGGAGGGGTCAGAACTAACTAATAACCAACAGGCAAGGCCTAGTACGTGCGTTCAGTCCGGAATCAAGTACAAGTCAGTACAACAAACGAATCACAATTTCGCATACGAGAATGCAAGGGTGATCGACCGAGCCAGTGATAAGATGGTCAAACTGATGCGGTTGGTCCTCAACTGACAAACTTAACCGAATCGTAGATTTACTTCCCGCCCACCAGGCGCTCCATATAAGGCCATGAG